CATTTTCAGAAAATCTGCTGTGTAATAGAGGAGAAAAGTAGTACTTACTCTTAGGGACATCAGTAAGCTCTCTATACAGTGTCAGAAATAGAAAATGCAGGGGAAGGAAAGGTTTGATCTGAATTCACGCATTCTATTTCACGTCATTCTGTCCATCTTCCAATGCCTGTCCTCCTCCCAGAGCACACTCCTGCAGCAGCAGTTCCTTTGGTCTCAAGAACTCCAGGCCTCCCATCTTCCTGCTTCCTCTGCTTAATGGCAGCAGCTGGTCTCTTAAAAGGAAGCAGCTACATAGCTCTACCAACAGCATGCCCCTGCACACCGAGGCTTAAAGGCAATACACCTGCACGTGGCATTGCTCCTGCTGGAAATCCTGGCAGCACTGCTGTGTAGCTAAGTGCCTTTGGCCTGGCTGGCAGTGGTTCTTTTTGCTGTTGCAAGGCTGCTGGTGCTTGTTTGTCAGTTGATCTGGTTTGGGTGCTCTGGTTGTGGTATCAGGATTGAGGTGTTGTGGCAAGTAATAATTTCACATGGTGTCAGAGGGATCAATGTGAGCGCACTGCAAGCTTTCCTTTTTCCATGACCCAGTAAGCAAATGGGGCACTGGCTTGAGACATACAGTGTGACAGATGTGTCTCCTTCTGGGGTTGAATATATGTCAGCAGGCTGCAGGTTTTTCAGATGTACAAGTTGTTCAAAAAGCACTGGTTTGCAGTGTTTGCTTTTAGATGTTTGTGTTTACACAGTAAATTGATTGCAAAATATTAATGGCTCAGTGTGATTAGTAAGTGTATCGCATAATTGGTTCCTGTGATCAGACTAGATAAACTCATCAGTGTTTATACACTTGTATTGTGTAGGTTCAAAGATTTATTCTACTTGATTGCCCCTACTTTCATCATGAGAGATTTTTTTTGCAATAGCTGTTTCCTCCAGCAGGACTGAGCTGCTCCAGTTTCTCAGGAACTAATTGCCAGCAGCAATATGGCTGCCAGAAGTAACTGACAATTGGTCAGATATCTGTGGCTTTTTTCATGATTAGTTTTTAATTCCGTGTCTTGTCCCAATGCAGTTCAAGATAACAGAAGTTCAGTGGTAGTTCCTGTTCAGTTGTTATCGATGCTGCTGTAGTTTTTTGTGTGGGGTCAGTCACTGGGAACTGTTTTCACTGTAATATTTGCAGTTTGGTTCTCTGTATTTTCAAAGAGCTACAGCAAATTCTTCAGTGTGTCCCTGCTTCAGATTTATTGCTGCTATATTGTAGGAGAGGTTGTTTCTATTTATTTCAGTTCTACTTTTATTATGGCTCCTTACTTGATCAAACCTGAAACATTTCTGTTGAATTCATGGTTTATAATCTATTTGCTATAGATCACTTTTTTCAAACATAAGCAGTGAGAGGTAACAGAACATTTAACTCCTCAATTTTAACAACAATCTGAAACCTTATTTTTATAACTACAGGTTTGATTGACATTTAAGGCTTTATTTTTAAAAGCAAGATCATCATCCAGAGGACATTGAGCTCTGAGACTTTTCATTTGTCCATCACATTAGCGGTGATTCAAGAGTTCAAATGGGTTAATTTTTGTCTTCATTAATGTCTTGAAAGAAAATAAAGCTCCCAGCAGTACTATGAGAGCTAGAGGTAGCTTACCTATTATTATTGGGATCTCTGAGTTCAGTTGAGATCTCAAATGATTGATTGGGAGAGTGTGAAGAACATCTCGGCAGAATTTTACATCTGAATATCAAGATGGAGGCTATAAGGAATCATGTGAATATATCCTGTTTTAACTGCAGGTGTTCGTCTGGATCGAGTCCGTGGAGGCCGCCAGAAATACAAGAGAAGACTGGATTCTGAGAGTAGCACTTATTTGAGCTTACAGATCCCTCCCCCAGCTAAAAAGCCACGTATGTATCAGTCTTTGGATTGTGGTCCTCTGAGCAACCACTGTGTTCCCTTTAGTTGGTCTCACAATGTTCAATGGAGCAGTTATCAATTCTGGTTCCCATCAGTCACCAGCACTTTTTCTTATGATCACAGTGCATCAGTATACTTGCTACATCTCAGGTATAGCCTGGGTGCAATATTTATTGTACTTAGAATATAGACCAGAAATTTCCTAGGAGATTATAAAAGTTCATTTAGTGATTTTGTTGAACTTTTCTGCCATCCAAGCTACCCTGACAAAATTGGTCCTGTGCTGATTCCTCTCTTCCATATGGCCAATAATTCCCGAAACTTTTCCAGGTCCTATCAATTGATTATTCATGCTTCCTCCTATCCCTGTTGGATCTACCTGAAATAGTGATTGACAGCCTTACAGTAGCTTACTGCTTTTGTCATCCCTGTATGGAGCTGGTTTGGCATAGACAGATCACTACAGCATATGAGGTTGCGGTGTATTGTCTTCTTGTGACCTGTACAATTTCTGAGGTCCCACAGCCTCTGTAGCCATGTATTCTGCAGGAAGGCCCTTCTAGAGAGGGCTGTTATGACACCGTATGTCACGAGAGGTAAAACAACAACTTCTCCTTTGAAATGTGCAGTGACTAAGATCGTCTCCCACTTGCTGGTGGCAGAGCCAGAGAAGATTTATGCCATGCCTGATCCAACCATGCCGGAGAGTGACATCAAAGCCCTGACAACCCTCTGTGACCTGGCAGACAGGGAATTGGTGGTGATCATTGGCTGGGCGAAGCACATCCCAGGTAAATGGGAAATTACAGGGTTGAAGCGTGGACAGCAAAGGGAGCTATTATTTATCACTGTGCTTATCAGTTTGTCTTCAAGCAGGATTTTTACATATAGTGATGGGTGGAAATTACTGATACAGAAAACTGCTTGTGGCAGGCCTTCATTGGAAACGAACTCCAGTATAACCCCTGGTGCAGGTGCATGAGTTCACTGTGTGTGTGTGTGTGCCCTGGCATTATGCAGTAGGCTTTGAGATGCTATAACAAAGTCCCAGTGACATCTGCATTGAGTGGCACAAAGAAAGCACTTGGGGAACAGCTCTTGGGATGGTGGACTTGTAATGATCTTGGTCTACATCACTATGGCCTAGGTCTGTTGTGTTTATGGATGAAATAAATGTTATGATAGTGACTGGACTTCATTGCTAATGGCAAGGCAGGTGCCCACTCTGTCTGTAGTGGGCATTCTTGTGCAGACTTAGGAAAGCTTTTATCTTACTGGATTCATCACAGAGCAAGTCCTATTGAAATGGAGGACATGCTCACTGTTGTCAGTCAATCTCTGGTCTTCTGTGCTGAAAAATAATGAGGACAATGTATTGGCAATGTGACTGGCCTCTGAATGCTCACTGCCTTCAGTATCCAGTATCTCAATACCCAACTGAGTGTGCCTGTGCAACTCAGTGAGAGAGCTACAGCATCTCATGTGCAGTAGGATGGACCCAGGCTGAAGGAGCAGACATGATCCTCAAGAAGGTTCTGGGACATAGATTCAGACTAAGCAGGGAAAATGCCCCTTCCTTCTCTGTTGTTCCTTCACAAACACCCTCTCCAAAAAAATAGATTGGATTTGGATGTGGGGAAGATTGGATAGGGAATTTGGAGAATGTCCTTGAGGTTTACATGGCTGCTTTCCAGAGGACTACTTCAAACAGATGCTCACTATGAACAGCTCACTATTACTTTCTCCTGCCTTCCACCCTGCCTTGTTGGGAGAATATCTGAGGTCAACCACAGAATCACAGGATTTAACCAGTATTTGCCCGTTGTCTGCATCTTCCACTGCATAGACTTGTGTTATGTTGCTTAGCTTTGTGGCTTTAAGTTCTTCCTTGTTTTGTGAGGCATCTTAGCATGAGTAAGCAAACTCATTCAAACCTATTTCTTTTATGTATACTGCTTCTCTTTGTCACTCCTCTTGTGGCTTTTTGGTGGCTGCTCTTCTTTTCTCAGTGGGAATATTTCTCCTGTGACTCAAGGGTTAGTGACTTCCTAGGCTGTATGAAATACAGAGTGTTATGTGGTGGGACTGTAAAGTCTGGATAAACTTTCTGAGGACAGTGTTTCTGAGTAGAGGTTAATCCCAGTGGTGCCCTTCTTACATGAGATCTGCAGGATCTGCAAGTATTACATCCATCAGTAGCACTGGAATCCTTCTGGGGCTGATTCATCACAAATGGGGTTACAGTGGTGATTAGGGAACTCAGCCTGGATTGTTCTACTAACCCAGAACTTAGGGCATTAACAGGAGTGGTTTTCATACAATGCAATTATCTGCTTGGCTGTCCAGTAAGGTGCTGCTGTCTGTTCTGCTAACCTTGTCTACTCCTATTTGCATAGGGTGTCCTGCTTTAGTTCTAGAGCATGTGGGATGCTCAGTTCTGAGTTGTTACAGGGTTTTTCAGTTTGCTATGGTGATTATCCCAGAACAGGTGTGTAGTAGTGAGATGGCTCCTGCACTACAAAAAGGGATCTTCCACTCCATTGTGAAAGGCAGGACAAACCTGTCATCACCTCAGCTTTCTCTTTCCTATCAATGATTTTGCAGCATGATAAACATCAGCCATCAGCCTCATGCAGTTCAAAGCAGCAGTATCATAACAGGACTGTGTATACAAGAGAGAGCTCAGGGACTGTTACACAAGGGAGCGGTAAAAGTTCATAGGAAAGGGAACAAAAAAACATGTACAAAACATACTGCGTTAGGCAGCAAGGGGGCAGAACAGGGCAGGGCCAGGAGGCTGCCAGGAGTCTGGATTATACATGCCCTGTATTTCTGCCTTCCAGAGATTTTTAGAATACCAGGACTTTGCTTCCTGTGTGCATAAACTCTTGGACATAGTCAGCATGGAGAAAGGAACAGAAGTCACATCATGTCTGCCTTGTTTTCACAGTGGAATTAATAAAGAATTGTGTGGTATTAGTCTTACCAACCCTTCAGGATCCCAGATGTTGGTGCAACCTTCTGCCTCATGCTGCTAGCAAATAAAATCAAAGCTACAGTCCTATGATAACAGGAAAGCATGATTTAATGGTGTTCAGCAAATATCTTTAGGTCAGCAGTCTTATTAGCTATTAGCGCAAAAGCCAGACTTAGTGTGGAGTTGTACCCTTCTTAGTGAGGCCCCTCCCCTTGTGCTAATTGTCTTTGAACATCTACTATTTCTGCATGCCTTGATGCAGGGAGACAGGACTTCTCTCAAGAGGTGACGGCGAAGGCTCTCCCAGGGTAGCTGTTGTGCTGCTCTCGCTAGGAAGACGATAGTACTAGCATGGAATGAAATATGGCAAGTGGAGTGACAGCAGCTGTGTCTGGAGTGGCCTCAGATCCTATAATTACATCGCCCTTTATTACCTCTGCTAATGGCCCTCCAGAATGACAGAAATGATAATAAATTAACAGATTATGAACTCCACTTGCCACAAATTATGTGACTTTTTTTTTTTTTTATTTTAAATTCTGGGAGCTCCCACTGCCGTATCGCTGAGGGGGAAAAATAAGCCACAAAAATAATGATTAAAAAAAAAGCATGTCACATCAGCTGTTGCAAATAAAGCAGCTTTTCTCTACCCGCACCTGGGAAGGAGGGAAATGCTCATGCAGCTCTGTGCTGATCACGGAGCCTATGCAATCCTGAGATACTTCTTTGGAGCCTCCCGCTGCCAGTGGAGTAGTCAGCACCTTTCAGAATAAGGCCTGCAGCAAGAAACAGATTAGTAAGGGCACTTTCTGGATGCTGTGCTATCAAACAACTCAGGAATGCACAAGGCTGTATTGCTAGCAATTCCTGTGAGCTATGTGATCTGGTGACGCACTTGAATTTCACAACTGGATGTTCTCCAGTGTTTCAAACCTATAACAGTGAGCCTCTGATGTTGGCCAAATGAAATTAGCATTTAACACTCCAGATCCCAACTTTCATATATGGGAAACCCTATGTTGTCTGATCTGTCTGATGTTGTCTCTTGTCTGTGCAGAGTGCAATAGCATACATCACAGTACCCCAGCCCTTGCATTCTACTTGTGGAAACAGTGGAGGGTCCCAATTCTGTTACGCATTTCAAATCCAGAACTGGCACTGCAGCTCCTGCCTTCATGCTCACCACTGGAGACTGGCAGAGGACTCTGCTGGGTGGGCAGGGCAATTGCAGCTGGCTCTTCTGTCTCCTTTGGCATAGGTAAAGAATGGCCTCTGCTTTGCAATTCTTTACCTGCCATAACGACCTCTGGGAAAGAGTGATTCATAGAGGTGCTGAGTGTACAGGCTACTGCTAGGATTATATCAAGATTTTGCACTCCATTCTGTAACAGAAATGTGTGAGCTATGTCTGTCTTGGATCCTCTCACCATACTACATAACTGTTTCTCAGTCTTTAACAAATTTTGTTGACAGACTGCATTGAGACAACAGCATAACCCCATTTGCAACCCAGACGAATAATGGCAGTGCAGAAAGGCCACAGGATTTACCCAGAAACTGGACTTAAGGCAGCAGCCAAAATGTGGGGCTGCTCTCCATGGGCAGAGCTAGGAGAAAGGTGAATGAAAGGCTGAAAGCTGGCTGCAGAGGAGAAATTCCAGGCACCAGAGACTGTGCCAGTGCCTGTGCACAGCTTCCTCTGCCTCATGGCTAATCCTATGAGGCTCCTGAGCAGCAAGGAGACCTGGGGAGACAGGACCAAGCCTGTGAGCTGCCTCAGCCTGCTCTTGGACTTGGGATGGCTGCATTCAGGAGCAGCAAAAAAGCAGTGTACTGGCTGCTCTTTAATAGGAGTTAAGGAGCAGGAGACTAAAGAGAAAAAGGAGAAAGGCATCCCTGCATCTTCAGCAAGGGATGGGTTTCATCAGGCACAGGGCTACGTGGGCTGTGCTGTACAGGATTCAATCTCACAGTCATGGAGCTGGATTTTTGCAGCTTTTCTCCCCAGCAGCCTGGACTCTTTAGCTGTTCCTTCTGGCACTCCTCCCCAGTGGTTTATTGATTCTTTCCTCCCACCCACTGCTCCCCTCAGACCTTGCACACACAACATGTGACAGCTGATTGGTATCTGTTAATTAATGTGGCCTGGGGCCTCTTTTCTATTTAGTGGCCTGATAAGGGAAATTGGATGTCCAAGGGCTGCCAGGCCATTATCACCCTTTGCTTCCCCTGGCAACACAAACACAAAACATGGCGTAGTGATATATAAATACCACTAACCCACCCTTCTGCCATCCCTTCCCCAGCTGAGATAGCGCAGATAGAAAAAGAAGACCCACAGTCAGTCAATATAGCAATCATCAGCTCTTTTGTTAATTGCCAACTTGATAACAAGAGAAATCAAATGATCATCATGGCGCCTGGCTACCTAGGCCTTGACATGGATCCAAGGAAAGTGAGCAGGGAGAGCTGTGGGATGGAAGCATCCCGCTGGGCCTAACACTCAGTGGGACTGGCAGGCTCCTGCGGACAGAGGCTAACGAGTTCCCATGCCTCTTGAGGAGAGTGAGCCCCAAGGCTGAATAAGCATGTGGAGTGAAGACTGGCAGGGGAGGCTGGTGCAGCACAGCCCTCCCAGCTGAGAGAGTCAGACTGCCCCATTCTCCCACTGCCTGGGGAACCTTTAGACACAAGGAACTGCCAAAAATCACAATTCCTGCCTGTCAGTGGTGGACAGGAGCTGCCAAGACAGGACCAACTCACTGTTCTTGACGTGTCTGTCTGCAATGGCTGTCATACAGTGCCTGTCTCCTAGGATCTTTCTTTCATGATCTGGCTTTCTGGGATTGATACTGAGGACATAACGGATATAGCTTTCTTTCCTATGCGCTTGCTTTTCCCTTTCTCTTCAGATAGACAGTACCTCTGTGTTTCAGCCGCTCCACTTCTCCACCAGAGCCAACAGGACTCTGATGCTGTCTATGAATGTGACATTGACTGCTCTTTTTCTGTTTGGGGAGGATGATCTGCTTCACTGTTCTGTCGCTACAGGGCCTGGCAAGAAATTGTTTGTATAGCACCACAGAGGTGTTTGTGTACTGGGTAAGGTTGGCTGTGAGGGGCAGAATGCTGATGGTGTGGAGCTCAGGGAATACTGATGAATAGAAGAGGATTTTTTCACAGACACATTCAGCTTTTGACATTTTAGCATTCTGTTGTGGCAGGACCTTCTCTTAGGTTGTCTGAAATGAGAGATTGCAGTATGCATGTGTTATTTCTTCCTATTCCATCAGAAACAATCTTTTCTGCTTTCTGGATCTCTCTGCTCTTTGATTCAGCTGGGGAGACTCAATGGGCTGCTATACAAAATTGTAAAGGTGCAGTGAACAGGAAGTTGTGGTGCAAAACAGTTGCTGCTGTAGAAGTAGAAATCAGCGAAAAGAGATTATCGTTAAGGTTGCCATATTCTGTGTGTTCTGTGCCACAGAGACAGGGGCCACTTCAGTAAGCATTTTTTGAGAGTTGCAGGGGGAGAGTGCTTTGTGTGGACCGCAGGGAAATTAGGAAGCCCAGGCTCTGGGATTCTTTGCTGCACACCCTTTTGACCCTGGCTGTCTTTTGCCCTATCAGGGTTCTCCAATCTCTCCCTCGGGGACCAGATGAGCCTCCTGCAGAGCGCCTGGATGGAAATCCTCATCCTGGGCATTGTGTACCGCTCCCTGCCATACGAGGACAAGCTCGTCTATGCTGAGGACTACATCATGGATGAAGAACACTCTCGTCTGACGGGGCTGCTCGAGCTCTACCTGGCCATCCTACAACTGGTGCGCCGCTACAAGAAGCTCAAGGTGGAAAAGGAAGAGTTTGTCACGCTTAAAGCTCTGGCCCTCGCCAATTCAGGTACAGCCCTGGCCTAGGCAGCCTGGTGATCAGAGTCATTGCGCATGCTGCTATCTGGCTTGGGAGGAGCTTAGGGCCCAGTGCTTGAGTCTGTGCTTTGCCCGTGTCGTGCAGCATCCCTGCATTTCTCTGTCACCCGCAAGAGATGAGGGAGGTGGAGACTCCCTAAGCTGGTGAGGAGAGAGAAGCATGGCCTGCTGCTACTATGGCCTCAATTTGCAAACTGGCCCTGAACAGGGGAATGGGACCTGCCAGAGGTGGGCTGGATTCTAGCACTAAAAGAAAGGGCTTGTGCCATGAGTTTAGATAAAGGGATGCAGGCCAAGCCTGCATCCACTCAAGTAGCGTTGGGCAGTTATAGCAAATAGGGAAATTCTAATCTTAGTTTTAGATCCCACAAAAAAACAAACAACAAACAAAAAACAACCATCCTGTGGGGTTAAGGGTGCTTGGTCTGCTGCTGTAGGTGTTTAGTGACCACTGACACTGAATTCCCGGGGGGGGGCCCCCCATCTGAATGGTAGAGGATAAGATGTGCTGGCAGAAGCTGGATGTTGCCTGTTTTGTTTCTTTCTGGGAGAGGATGAGAGAGATGAGGGCCCTCAGCCTCTACCTCAGTGAGGGGAGGTTCACAGCCCTCAGGCCAGCAGGCTGGAAGCCTGTGCCCATGGGAGGCACAAGGTTGTGTGTGCTGTACTGATGTTGTACCAGACATATATTTGCTCAGGAGTTCCTTCCGAATGGAAACTGCTGAAGCTATTGTGTGACGAGGGCTCCCTCTACATACCTTGAGTCTCACTGTCTCACATCTGATCTTGCCAAACTGCAGTGTGTAGGTTACGCAGTTCACCCTTGCAGGCCAGCAGTGAGTCCAGTATCTGTGTTCAGCTAAAGGCACTTTCCAGAAAGGCACTCAGTATGAAGCTGAAGGCCTTAAATATGGGGAAATCCACACCTGCTGTTGTCTCTTTAAAATTGATCATTCTCTCAATTTAGAAAGAAAAGAAAGATACCATATCCCAGTTTGCCTCAGTTTGCCTGAGTTCAGTCAGCCTGCAGATAGTGCTTTTCTGAGCTGTGTCCTATGATCCCAGGTCCTTTTGCACCTGACAGCTTGACATGATATAGTTCCTATTTCATAGTTGCATTCCTGGGCTATAGGTGTTACTTCAAGTACAAGCAAGTGGTCCAGAATGCTCTGCGAGGCTGCTCTATCCTCACTGTTTCATACCTTTCTGTTCTGCTTTGTCATCCACACATCTTAGCAGCAGCAATTGGAAAGAAAGAAGTTAAAGAAAGAAAGAACCAAATCACTTACAGATAATTGATAAAAACGTTGGGTAGCATCTGTTGTTTTACTGATCCCTGCGGATTTCCACCAGAAATCTCTTCCTCCAGGGATGATTCACCACTGATAGCTACTTTGAAATCTGTCATCTGGCCAGTAACTAATCAATTGAAAGTGTGCTTTATTGATATTGCATGGTGCTAATTTTTTAATGAGAATGTCCTGTGGTGCTAAGCCAAGTGCCATATAAAAGACTAAGTCTATTATATCTATGCAGTTAACTTTATCAACCAAACTTGTAATCTCATCAGAGAATGAAATCGGGTTTGTTTGACAAGACCTCCATTCCAAAGTATTGTGCAGACCGGCAGTAGTTGTAATACCACCTCTTAAGTTTTAATTGAACTTTTTCTTCTTCCTTTATTTTACTCTGGTTCACATCAGTGGCAGTTATCAAACAGGGACAGTATATGCTTCATTAGAACTTTTCCAGCCATTTTGAATTTCTCAAAAATACCTACCCTTAGCAATTATTTACCTGCCCTAGGTGGGCCTTTGTCAGCAATTTTAAAATTCTAAAAGCCAAGG